GTCAGTGGTAGGGATGACTTGAAATTTTTTCAAAGTCACTCTGATCTACTCAGCATTTGATGCTGAATCCAAATAAAATAAGCAGAAAATTGTTCGAGGTCAGCAAAGTGGGGAAACCATGCGGTTTTCTCAGAAACAGTCGGTTTTCCACGTTTTTCTGTTTTTACAAGTTTTCTGCTGTACGGTTGACGTCAAAAATCTTTAAAGGTGATATTCTTGATCAACTCGACGTGCTCTATCCAACTATGTATAATTCGACCAGATTCACTTTATCACTAACCTTTCGAATTTCCGGCACCTTACCTAGAAAATTAACTATTGAACCTCAGACAATGGGATAAAAATCTCAAAGAAGAAGACGTCGACAAGCGGGTCGCAGTTCGACAACTCAGCATCATTCGAAATATTGAATGGCGCTCAAACGGGAAGAACGCTATCAGAGATTAAAATTATAGGTTTTGTAGAGAATTCAATTCTCTATCGATTGACTTTAAAAAGAATCCTTGGAACTATTGGATGGTACCTCAAAAACAACGCACAAACGTGGCCGGTTTTATCTGGCCCACCCGTTAGAAAAAAGCTTTCTAATATTCAATCGAACAAAACAGATAGATTCCATTTTTGCTTATTAGTAGGCCTCTAGCATTCAGATAGAGATATACATATATCTCAGATGTATGTCTATTGACATTTGCTTCACATTTGTCACGTTTTCTTTCTGTGTAGAAGAAAACGAGGAAAGAGAACAGTTAGTGGAAGAACAAAATGCGAGACTATAACTGTTCTCTTTCCTCGTTTTCTTCTACACAGAAAGAAAACGTGACAAATGTAAAGCAAATGTCAATAGACATATATCTGAGATATATGTATATCTCTATCTGAATGCTAGAGGCCTAGTATTTCTTTTCATACGACGTTAAGTAAGGTCAATAACTCAATTTAACTTTGTTTTGGATGACAGAACAATGACATAGTGTTGTTACATTGAAAGTATCTTATTTGTTTGAGTTCAGATACGAGCAGTTGTAACAACATCCGATGAATTAATACAACAAATATCCAAAGATCAAAAAATTCAAATAAAAATTGATAATGCAATTATACCAATGAGCATATTTAGAATTGATGAAGATGGACAAACTCATAAAAATCTTGCTAACGAAAATGGCGATTTTATGTGGTTTTAATTAGTCATTGATGTTTTAATAAATATGATTAATGTTACAAAATCACACGAAGAAGTTAAAGAAATCTGCGCACAAAATGGTGTCGATATTGACACTAACAACCGAGAACCTTTTTATCAGCTTTTACGACGAATCAGTGACGAAGAAGATACTAAAAGATCTATACCAGAACTGGTTGATTTATGTCGGCAACAATATGCCGATAATAATAGTCAATTACAAGTTATCAATGAATTTCAACGTGATTATGAAAATTGGGTTTCTATATGGTGGTACACCCGTGATTCATTTGTTTATCGTCTATTGAATAAGGCATTACGACAGCAAAATATAGATGTATTATTTTTATTTCGTTTCTTAATTCATGATATTTATGTCTTATTACAAGAACAACAAAAATGTTTTAATCAGGATATAATGTTGTTATATCGTGGTCAATGGTTACATAAAACAGAATTTGAATGTTTAAAAACTTCTAGAGGACAATACATATCAATGAACACGTTTTTATCGACAACAAAAAATAGACAACTGGCATTAATATATGCTGGTTCTGATAATATAGAAAAAAATTTAATATCAGTTTTATTCGAAATTAAAGCAAATACTCGGCGTAATGATTTAAAACCATTTGCCGATGTTACTTATATGAGTCAATTTGGTGAAGGTGAATCAGAAATACTCTTTATGATAGGATCAGTATTCAATATTACAGATATTGATTTTAATATAATAGATAAAATATGGGAGATTAAATTAGAATTAACTGGCGAAAATGATAAACAGTTAAAAGATGTTTATTTGTCACTGAGAAACGAAATCGGTGAAGAAGTTAGCCTTCTATCACTTGGTCATGTATTATTTCAAATGGGTAGTCATGATAAAGCAATTCAATGTTACCATCGAGCTTTAAAACAATTACCCATAGAACATCCATACATTCAGCGATGTTATTATGGTCTTGCAGATGTTCTTTCTGAGAAACATGATTATGATCAAGCCCTGTTTTATTATGAACAAGCACTTAAATTAGAAATCGATTCCGTTGGTAGCCCGTATTTAATTGGTGATATATATAATAGCATTGGTATGATGTTTTTTGATAAAGTGGATTATGAAAAAGCATTATTTTATTACCAAAAAGCTCTCGATATCTTCTTAAATTCAATTGGTTTTAATGAACTTCGTACGGCAAATGTCTATGGAAACATTGCAAATTTATATAATAGACAAAAACGATATGACTTAGCAGAAAAATATTATAATGAATGTTTAAAAACTGGAAAAAATTTACTACCTGATAATCATCCACATAATACACAAACATTGATGAATATTGGCGTTTTACAGATGAATCGACGTGATTATGTATCAGCTTTAGAATCTTATAAACAATGTTTAAAAATAGAATTAGTAACACTTCCTTCTGAACATCCGTCTTTAGGGGATAGTTATCTGAACATTGGTGATGCATATGCAAATATGGGTCAATCGGAATCTGCTCTACAAAATTATACAGCAGCCATGAATATTTATAAAAAGTCGCTGCCATTATCGGATCCCAAATTTGCACAACTTAGCTGGAGAATAAATACTTTAAAGAACAGCTAATTCCATATTTTGGAATAGTATAATATATAACTCAGAAATAATGCTTTGCTCTTGGATCTGACTAAATAAAGATGAGACTTGTCTTGTGAATGATTCTTTTTAAAAAATCAATAGTATTAGAGAGCAGAGCCGTCACGACTCAACGATTCCGTTTTCGACCATATTATAGGTTCGTTTTTGACCATACCATAGGTCCTTGGGTGTAGTGGAAAATTCTGTCTTGGTTGGGATGTCTGGCTTTTCCTTGTTGAGTTACGGCCATTTTACTGAATTTTTGTGCTAAGGGTGAGGATGTGAGTCTCGGTGCCATGATTTAGATTTCGTTCCGGCGAACGGACACTCTTCAGATGGTTTTAACTCTGCTTGTATTAGTTCAAATGATTCGAATGAATCACAAGCATAATACATCATTTATACATATCTGCAATAGATTATCTTATAATATAATTATATTTATTATGCAAAACGCATTTTTTTCGAATGTCATGCGCTTGACTTTCGTGATTCATGTGCTTGAGTTTCGTATTTCAAGAAACTCATGTGCGCGAGATTCTTAACTTGTTTTCCTTTTTCAAACAAAGGTGGTTTATCAAAGGTCTGCTGGGGAGAAACACTTATGCTAAAACGTTCGGAACGCATAATTTGTGAAGAAAGTGTTTTGGTTGTTTAATAAAAAATCAAATCAAATCGGAGAAGTCTCTTAATTTACTTTTGCCAAGTGCTTCATTAATATATGACCGAGAGTGATTGAATAATGTTCAAAAACTATATCAAGCGAGCTTAATAAGGTTGATCCTTAAGAATTGTTGCTTGAACATTAGAGGAAAAGGTGAGATACAGTTTCCTTCAGATGTCCACATGTATAACTCGAGTGTACTCCAATACTTCTACTTTGAAGATGATAAACATCAGAAAGAGTTAATACTATTGTTTTGAATGCAAAACACACTGCGCTTTACTGAAAGGACCTGTTTGATAGAGCGCGAAATGCTCCACAACTCGATACAGTATGGAGACATGTTGTTAGGTGCGTAAGTTTTTTTACCTTTCATTGGTAGAAATCGTGGAAAAATCAGAAGTCCAACATGGTGGAAAGTCAGAAAGAAAAGTCAGAAATTCTTCGCGGAAAGTCAGAAGCACGCAGTTTTGAACTCGTTCTGATGTTTTTTGAGTGAATAGTGAATTTTTTAATCAAAGTAAGTTCGTAATCAAAGTCGTCCAGTGACTTACTGGACACCCTATATTCTTCAATGTCTGCAAAAGTGACCTGGCTATAGAACCTAGATCGGTGATTTCTTTATTACAAAACAAGAACTCAATGGTTCAACAAAAACTTAATATACAAATTTGTTTCGTTTCCATGCTGGAAAAGGACACATTCTACGTATTGTGGAAGGAAAAAGGACATATCGATGAACGTTCATATAGCGTCCACTAGTATCGCTAGTGCTGAAAATCTTATGTGGATTGTTTGTGACCTTTATTAGTTCGAAAAAGTTCAGTGTTAAAGTTTAAATTTAAAGAATAGAGAAAATAAAGTGAAATTAGAAAGAGACTTTCTAGAGATTCCCTAAAGAACCATGATCATATAATATTGGAATCTCACCAAACCCCTACGTTTGTTCAGATTTTAAGTCGCTATCCAACCACGTTTGAACCAAGGTTTAATCCCTTACTCGACCTGTCATGTGCTATTCACTAAGAACTGGGTTTTTTCCCACTACGAAAAAAGAAAATAGGAAAGATGGGTTTTCTCCCACTACGAAAACCAAACATAGATGGCTTTGTACTTTCCTTATCCAGGCTG